CCAGAGATGGGAGCTCACTCCGTCATGCAGCACTCAGGTCTCGAACTGCTGATCTACTGACCTTCCAGTCTGCAGTTCAGCATCTTAACCACTTGAGCCACCCGCCTACCTAGTCCCAAAAAGCAAGATCTTCCCTGAGCTGAATACCCCTTTCCTGTGATACAAGTTAGCATCTCTATTCATTCTAATGAACTTCTGAATCTGCTTTTTAAAAACATCCATTTTACTGCACCATATTATTGCAAGCAAGACTTGCGCATGAATTCAAGTACTCCCCTGCATGTTTTAAAACTATCGCTGACAATCCCCACAGTAGTTAAAACTATGCAGAGTACAGTCTCCACCCCCTCCTCAAGCCGTTAGAACTGGAATGATTTGTCAAAAAACCATAGGTCATAACAAAATATTATCTCAATAAAAAATGAAAACCCAAAAGACAAAACCGTCTAACTCGACTGAAGTCCTTTGTCATAAAAACTGTCGGCAGCATGCACAGCTACAAATTTTTGGTGCTCTCTTGCCATTGCAAAGGCAACCTTTATAAGAGCATTTCCATCACCATCAATGAGTAAATGTTAAAATCTGTTGCTAAATTGACCGATGGGCCCTTCTATAAAGAGATGCTCTGAACATCTCACTCATAAAACCTTGTAAACAGGGCAACGGAACATTTAGAAGAGCCCCTGCTGTACTATTATGGGTTGAAAGGATTCCCCCCCCCCCATCACAATCCTCCAGAATAGAAGTGGATATCCACTGAAACAGAAGAAAAGTGTCAGGGCTCTTCTGATAGGCTACACAGAAATATGAGATACCTTTCATACTCATGTGTAGTCTTACACTCATAATACCATGGAGCAATCTCCACATCAGGAAGCTTAGACTAAATCAGATTGTGCAAATACATTGTTCAATCTATTTTTAAATTGGATTTTAGCTGCTACAGGCTTAACACCATTAAAAATAGGCACACAAAAATCCATAGGATTGAATTGGATATTCATGCCTGTGGTCCCGGGTAACCTCATCAGAAATGCTCTTCAGGGGACCACATTCTGGCAATCTGCCCTCCCCCATTCTAGATTGGCCACTAAAAACAGGTACATGAATACCTGACTAAAATGAGTACTATCCTAGCTTCAGATACATCAAGAATAGAGGTTGTCCTTTTCCCAACTGACCTGAGGACCTGCCAATGTTACTGAGCTGTGACGACCCTGCAAAGCATCTTAGAATACCATTTCCCCCATAATATTTTGAGCACAGGAAAAAAAACTTGTTTGGTACTCAAGCGTTGTGGTGGATCCTACCCCATCCTTCTAGTCCTTTGAGTAAAGTTTATTTATTAAAACATTTATACTCCACTTTTCCTTCTGGCTCAGGTTTCAGGCCTTCTTCCAACTGAAGTGATTTAAGAGCCACTTAAGTTGGAGGAAGGCCTTAGAGTGGGGGTGTCAAACCTACGGCCCGCAGGCCAGAACCGGCCTGCCCAGGCCTTTAATCTGGCCTGGGAGTGGGGTTCTCCTCTCCCCCTCCCCTGCCCATCCTCACTTTTCTAAGCTTGAGCTGCCCTGGAGTATAGAGAGCAGAGCGTGAGGCTGCCTCTGAGAGCAGGAAGCAGAAGGCAGGGCTGCCAAACTTCCCAGCCACTGCTCTCAGCCTCCGTAGTCCTCATCACAGGTAGGCACAGGTGGTGGTGGGGGGTCCTTCTACTGTGATCCTTGTGGTTCTTTTTTATTTTAAAACTTGTTTTGCAAAATCCCACTATTCCCCCCACTTTTCCAATTGAGGCAGGCACGTTTTAAGGGCGCAGGGGAGGTGGTTGGGACCAGCCAGAGTTACAATATAGAGCTCTGCAAATTCAAGTGACTCCAGTTTTGCAGAGAAATACTAGTTTTAACACACATACCCTCCTAATGTGGGTCTCCAACGGAATAGCTGCTATAATATTTTTAATTGTGTTTGTCTGTGTCCTTTGTAAAGTTTATATCTCTGCTACCTGGCATTACATTTTATGATGCACACGGCCTGGCCAGACAAAGTTCCATTTATGTCATAACAAATTAGTTCTACACCCCTGCCTTAGAGGATGGTTGGATCCACCCCAGGACCACCAAAACACTTTACTGTGCTGTGGAGTGCCCCTGTACCCTGACAGTAAATGACATGACATCCAGTCAAGAATGCTGCACGCAAAAACTAAAACCGCAAAATATTTTGTTCTGCTGTTTAAATCCTAATCTTGATTTCTTGCAGAAAATGCAGAAGATTCTCACCTCTTTTCCGTCACGGAGGAAATGAATTTCCACAAGGAGCTCTAGACTCACTAGATGGCCCAAGGCAACCTGCTCTCTCAGACACTCATCTGCAATATGGGAGTAATAATACTGACCTACCTTACAAGGTTGTCGTGAGGCTTATAAAACGCACCTTTAAGAGCTTCAGCTCTCTAGCACACTATACAAACCCTAAGGACTATTATATATCTGGAATCTTAGCTCTCAGCAGTGTTTCTCTTCTCCTTTCACACAACAGTGAAACCCTCAGAGCAGCAGAAAGCATTGTTTCCACCTTCCTCGGGAGCAAGGGCCACGCCTCGGTGATAAGAGTACCTGCTTGGCATACAAACAATCCCAGGTTCATACATTTTAAATTCCAGTGATCTTTCAGACCACAGTAAGTTGCTCTAAGCATCTGCACATTTGAAGCTAATGTTAGACAGCCTTAAGTGACATAAACCGCAAGACGAATCCATACGACGCATCCGCCAACTGCTTGCGATGCTAAGGAAACTGAAATGCCAACTGTAGTAATTACATATGCTGAAAATTAGCTCCAGGTCATGATAACCTTCTCTCAGTTGTCCACACCTGCCTTAACGGCAGAAGTAATATCTGGCTTTTTTCAGAGGCTCGCTCTGGAGAGAGAGAGAAAAATTCAGAGAACCGGCAGAGATGCAAAATGGCATCTGCAATTCAGTCATTTAAAACTGGAGGGGGTGTGAGTGAAATGCTGTGGTTGCTGATCTGTGGACGCAGACACCCCTCTGCTGGATGTCAGCAGTATTGCAAGAGGCCCTGCAGCTTGAGTGAGACTGCAAGACCAAGCGGATTGGAGGGCAGTCGCCCTGCCTGTTGTTCTTCCCCTTCTGCGTGTCAAGCAGAGGGCTGGGTAAGAGAGGTCCGCTCGAATCAAGAATAGGGGATCTTGGCCAAGGAAAGCTGAATCTTCCCTATTTTATCTCCCCTCACACTGGCATTCAAATTCCTTCCTTCCCACCCCACACTCTACTGTGATACAATAAATCGGCTGGAGGGGGGAGGAAGCTATGTGTCCCCTTAGCTGTGGAGTCTTGTGAGCAAAAATTCCATCTTTGTGAGCGACTGGCATTAAAGCTGAGAGCGAGTGATTTGGCTACTGCATAGATTAGTTTGCTCCGGAGCCATCCTTCCCGAGCGAAGACAAAAACGTGAGCCGGAGGCTAGAAAACTGTGAGCTAGCTCATAACTCAGCTTAGAGGGAACACTGGGAGGAAGTACCCAAAAGGAAGACGTTTGAAGGGGAAACACTCCATTCTTCTCTTGCAGGCAACACCGGGTGCTGAAAGCCAATGTTACAGTTACAGGAAGCTAACTTGGAGGCCACAAGGAATCGAGTGGGGGGATAGTTCACTTGGATATTTTCCCCAATCCAAAATTAATCACAATGCTATTAGCTCTCAGTGGCTAATTCCCCCCCTTGCCTTCCCTTGCCCCCCCCCACTGATGCCAAACTGCCCTCAGGATTTTTTTTCTGGGGGGGAGGGAGTCTTTCTTAATTTATGAAATATTTTTCTACATACCTGGAAAGCATTCAGAGCATGCAGAATTGCGAGCTTCATTATGGGTGGGCCTATCTGACTGCCCTATCTGTTGGATCCTCAGGTTTGCTACGAGAAGGACCAAAGGGAATCACGGGAGGAGGGAGAAATAATGAATCAGGAAGTCCAGCCACCCCAATATGTAAGTCTGCCAAGTTCCAGGGATGGATAAGTTGCTTCCTGCTCACTTCGTCCTGAACTGCAGCAGTCTAGCCCTGTAGCACTGATGGATGATGCTGAAGCCAGGGGAGTGGGAAGCAATGATTTAGCCTTGAGCCTGAATGATGCAGTGCACAAGACAAAGTTCTCCCTCTCTCCCCTCTGAGCCACGTGGGAGGGTTGGGGGGGGAGATAATGGAAGCTCTTACTTTGAGAAAGCCAAGGTCTCTCCCCCCTTCTGATTTCTCTCCTTTCAGCTGCTCCCTGCATTCCAAGCCCCTAAGACAGCAATGATCATGCTCAGTTCTCACGAGGTGCTTTTTTGGTGAGGACTTTTTTTGGAGCTGTTATAAATGCACTTTTCCCCTTCATACCTGGGCAATCCCCCAGAGTGTGCAGAAACACCTAACATGTCTGTGAGGGGACTCTTTTTCCCTGCCTTAATGATAGGTTCAGGATTAAATTGTTGGAAAGAACAGGCTGGTAGGCCAGGAGGAACGGTACACATTACACAACTCTTCCCCTCCCCCTCTCAGGTAAGTTCTACCATCTATTTTCCCCCCTTTTAACCCACTCTCTACGAGTATGCTCAGTTCTCATCAGGTGTGTGGGTCTTTTGGTTCATCTTTCTATATACCCGAGCATTACCAGATCTGGAGAAGCCACCATCTTGTATGTGGATAGCCTGAGTTTGCCACTTTCATGCTTGGCACAAGCCATTCCCTTTGCTATTGGATGTAGTAATGATGCCTTAAACTAGAGCCATTCCAAAAACAGTACAGTCCAGGAGAGGGGGAAACATGAGGACTGAAGATGACCTTGGACTGAAGAGGGAGCCTTTGGCTTGCGTGGGATGCTAGAATGGGGGGGGGGGGGGAGAATTCCATTCATTCCTGACTCACATTCCTGCGTAGAAAATCCAGACATTACATGCACTATTTTCTATCTGTATCTTAAACATGGAAGAAAAAAGGATATTCACATTAATGGTTTTGTCACTTTTACTCCTCTGCAGCTGGGCTCCTTCGAGCTCCTTCACTAGTCTCTCCCTCTCAAACTGCAGATCGGCCAGCTCTTGATCGCTCCTCCTCATTCTCTGCTGGAGCTTACGGTTCTCCACGTCTTTGGTCAGGTTTTCAGAACGCAGCTCTGCCAGGAGGTTCTCTTTTTCAGTCAAGAGGGCCTGGTAACCTTCGGCACCCTGGAACGAAAAGGAACAACCTTGGACGGCACATGCACAAGTCAATCAGCTTGCCCAGCTTCCTGCTTGCTTCTTTCATGGTTGTCAGCGATAGAAAGCAGGACAGTGCAAAAGACAGGGAAACCCCAGTGATCCAAATGATGGCTTGTGGAATAGCCCCCATCACAAATACATTAGGAAAGCTGCAGGACAAACTGCAGTTAGCCCCTCACCTGGATGCCTACAGTGAATACAGCTGCCATAAGTCAAGCTCCTATTGTTTAAAACAAAGCTACAGACGCTTTTTTAAAAAACCTTCCAGCCTTAGAGCAGTGAGCCCCTAGGCTAAGAGCAAGAACGAGCTGTGCCTGCAGCTTCCAAACAAGAGGAGCACGCAGAACATTCAACCAGAGTAGCTGCCCCTCCAAGCACCCACAGGCCTCAGCTCTCTGGAATGAGTGGTGGAAGACAGGTTTTTAAGACACTCTGTGCAAGTGTGCACTGCAGCACTAAGGTGGTGAACCTGTACCTGAGCAGAGTTTGCAGGTGGGAGCTTAACACTGAAGCTTCCTCCACAGGGGAAAAATGTCCCACCCATATGAAAACAAGTCAAGGAAAAGGATTTCCCCAATTTTCTATATGTTGGAACTTATTGTACAGATGTGCAAGGTCCCACAGGTGGTAAATGGTACAGCACAGGCATAGATTTACCACCTCTGGAAACATACAATGGAAGTAATAACAGGTTAAAACAAGGTTCTGATAGAAGCCTCATTCTCAGCTGACCTGTGTCTTGACTGTACCACCAGTGGATAAATGACTTCTACTATTCAAATTCCCTGCTGATAGAAAACTAATATGTCAAAGAGAACGCTGGGTTAGAACCTGTCTCTAGGTTGTTTTACTGTGGAAGAAGGGTTCTTGTCCCCTACAAAGGGATATTCCATCATGTGCTCCTCACTGCAAGTCTTTAGAACTCAAACACGAGTGGATCACCTCAGTGAGAACCAGATTACAGCTCCTTTCTGAAAATCTTATTTCTGCCAGTCTCAAAGAGACATGCAGGCCCCAGATGCGCTAGAGAGGTAATGATGACCCACTGCCCTGGGGATTCATTAGGGCACAAGGATACGGGCTTGCCCTGGTCTGTCAAAGAACATCAATGCTGTCTTTTCCTTGCTGCCATATCAAGAACCAGTGGAAAGATCAAAGTAGCATAATTTAACAGCTTTACCTGCAAATAACACTTACTCCAAAATCCAGACAACAATGAATACACTTTAAAAAAAAAAGCAGCCATAGCTTTTAATGTCTCACCTGGAATGTCTGCATCTGAGCTTTATGTGTGGCCTCTCTGGCCTTGACCAATGAGGCGTTTAAACTTTCCAATTCAGAACTAAGCTCTTCGTTCTAAAAAGAAAAGGAAAAAAACCCCACTGAAGTATCAAGTGCTAGGAAAGGAACGCCGCTGGAAAAGTGCTGGAAAAAGTAACTTTGGAGCTTATTGTGAATGTGTGAAGATGCCTTCAGGGAAGTCCTGACTCTTGCCACTTGCACAGGCAGGGCTTTTACCAATATCCCCAGTGGGAAGAGTCCCACCCAGTTTTCTAGTCAAACTACAGCCCAAGAAACACCAATGTTCAAAACCAACAGAAAACGATTCCAGACACTGAAGCATCCAAATTGTGTTGGAAAAGTCAATGTCTTGGGAAAGTCAATGTCTTGGGAAAGTCAATGTCTGGTGTACAAAGACCCTGCAGGGGGCAGCAAGAAGACAATTAGATAGGATTGTGAGGTCAGCACCTTTTCTCTTGTTAAGTGTCATCCCTTGTCGGTCTCCAGATTGCTACTCTCAGGGCAATTTCCCCCTTCTTCTCCAAAGTGCCACAATCAGTCTTACCCACTCTCTCAGCCAGATATGTAGTTAGGAACTGCTCTCTGTCTCTTCTCTTTCCTATCAAGTATGTTAATTCCTTAAAAAAAACCCTTTATCTACTCTTTAATCAGGTTGTGCACGGTTGCTGTGTTAATTACTCTGCCAGCAAGCTGAACCTTGAGGGAACTGCCGACAGATTAACCAGGGACTGCAGAACAGCTGAACCTACACACCACCTACTTGCACCAAAGGGAGAAGCCACCGTCCACCTGCTAAAGGAAGACTTGGATACTTTTCTATACACTGATCTGTGCTAACAGAGAATCTGAACTCTTGGTTCAGTTCTGCAGCTTTTCTTCCTCGCCCCCAACATGCCGCTTCACACCCCAGTGGCTTAAGGCTCAATCAATCCTCTTGTGAGAGAAAGTGTGGCTCAGTGGTAGAACAGGTAAAATATTTCAGTTTAACTCCTGGCATCTCCACTGAAAAGGAATTCAAGAAGTAGGAACTGGAAAAGACTGTTCTCAGTCTGGGGTCCTGGAAGCCTGCTGCTGGGCAGAGTCAACTGCTCTGATTTGGTACAAGGAAAGTCTGACCTGCTCATATGACAGAATGAAGGGGAAAATCAGTTCCTGAGCCTGTTGGAAAACTGTTCAATTTTGGAATAAAGAAAGAATCAGGGTGCACAGACAGTCAGAAATTCCTTTCTGATTGCCACGGCTTTTAAATGCCAACATTCTTCTTGCCAAGGCCGCCGAGCTGCCACTGGCTAGAAATCTTGGGTATCTAAAGGCAGAGCATAAGGAAGTTGGTGAAATTCCCACAATGAGAGGGTGGGGATGGTGGACAGTCTGAGTAAGGCTTTCTCCTTAAAGTGCTTCAATGAAGATCTGCCAGATTAGTCCAGAACACTGAGGAAGGAAGGCTGCTGCCTGAGGTCTCCGGGCTTTTGGATGTAGCCCCAAGGCCCAGTCCTGCCTCAGTCCCTGCCCCAACAGAGTCGTATGGGAGCAAGTCTCCACCCTAAACCCCTTCATATCAGGGTCAGCCTGCCCTTCCCCTAAGCCATTTCCAGCATGCTTTGCTCAAAGCTATTTTCCGGGTATAACATTCTACATACCTCATTTTCTTTGGCCTTTAAAGCAAGCGTTAACCCCTGGATAGTCTTGTCCCGTTTCAAAGCATTTCTTCTTTCCACAGAAAGCTCCCTCTCCCGTTCATGCAGTTCCTCCTGGAGTGACTAAATAAGAGAGTGGAAAAGGGCAACATGATTTTAAACACACAGCAACCATTTTGCATGCTTGAATACGTTGCAGGGGTATCAGAAAATTTTTTTCGCGGAAAGTCTTGTCACTGGCCTAGTGTAGTGTGCCGCTGTTCGGGCTTAGAATCCTTGAATCCATTACATCATGACCCATGGAATAAACTTTCCCAGGATTGGAAGTGACCACACTGTGGTCCAGATTACAAAGGCAGTGCTGTATGGATCTGTACAATGGATGGTCCACTCACCATAAGAGGTTGTACCAGATGGACTTTAATTATTTCCATCTCTTAGGCAATTGCCCACGGTAAAGCACTAAAATGTATTTGGCACTTCAATACCAAGGCCTAAGGGTCACAAATGATGAAGATGTAAGCCTGTCTCTGGACCGTGCCACTTGCAAGATCGGAGCTCATGCATGTGAAAACTCCACTAAAATAAAAAAATCCCAGGGTATATGGTCTGGAGATACATGATGCAGCCACCTTGTCAAAGCAATACAAACAAACAAAAAACACCGTGATGAATCTATAATATTATATAATTAATAAACTTATTACACATACAAAACATTGTGTGAGAAACCAATAACATATAAACATAACAACCCTATAAATACCAAACAACCCTATAAATACCAAACCATAACTAAATAAAGTTCATATAAGTCCATTCCAAAAATCAGTCATGACAATGGGAAGTTCTCTCAAGGAATATAACAAGTTAACAAAGTATAAGAATTTTTACAAGAGTCTTCTGAAGCATAGAGTTCCAATCCTATCGGGCTTCCCTCTGTTGAAGCTATTGCTGAATAAGGATCCAAGAGCCCAGCCCAACAAACAATCAATGTAGGTAATTTCAAAGACTCTCTTTTTCGAGAGCTGACGATCCTTAAGAATGATTGATCCGCCTGGCATTTGGTTGAGGCAGCAGATGTCCCCCCGCCCCCCCGCTTCTCTGGCCCTAGCTTTTCTGGCCAATCTGTTCACCAGTGGCCTGATCTTGATTGGTCATCTGATTACCTCTTTGTTTACATGGTATTTTATGATACTTTATGTGTAAATTGTTATTTTAATACTATTTTAATTGTATTATTTAATTGCTGTACACCGCCCTGAGCCCATTTGGGGAGGGTGGTATCTAAATCTAAATAAATAAATAAACCTAGGTATTTCAAAGACAGAATGGAGCAGCCTTCAAACTGGGCAGCAAAATTAGGTGCCTTCTCCTGAAGCTCAGCGTACTAAATTACCCAATCTCCCCGTCTTCTTTGACCTTCAATCTTTCCCAGCATCAGGGTCTTCTCTAGTGAGTGCTCCCTTCTCATTTGGTGGCCAAAGTATTTGAGCTTCAGTTTCATTATCTGGCCTTCCAGGGAATAGTCAGGGTTGATTTCTTTTAGGATTGACTGATTTGATCTTCTTGCAGTCCAAGGGACTCTCAAGAGTCTTCTCCAGCACCATAGTTCAAAAGAATGAGAAGGGAGCACTCACTAGAAAAGACCCTGATGCTAGGAAAGATTGAAGGTCAAAGAAGACGGGGACGGCAAAGGATCAGATGGTTAGACAGTGTCATCGATGCAACGAACATGAAGTTGAGCCAACTTCAGAGGACGGCGGAAGACAGGAAGGTCTGGCGGGATCTGGTCCATGGGGTCGCGACGAGTCGGACTCGACTGTGCGACTGAACAACAACAAAAATCTCCACTGTAAACAAAGTACTTCAAGGACAGAACGGAGCAGCCTTCAAACTGGGCAACAAAATAAGTGCCTTCTCCTGAGGCTCAGCGTTAGGTAGGTATTATAGATTCAGGTAGGTATTATAGATTCATCATGGTATTTTCTGTTTGTTTGTACTGTCATCTCAGACCATGTTCCCCTGGTTTTTCCATACCTTGTCAAAACAAAGCAGACCTGGGTCAAGACAGCGCCTAGACAGGAGAACTGCTGCCTTGAACTCAACAACAGAAGAGAGGTGAGATATAAATGTAATAATGTATAAATGTCAGGAAGAAAGGTTTTACCTGAGCCTGGCTCCCCCGTACTCTGCCTTCCTAAATTCAAGGATATTTCATACAGAGAGCAATCATGCGTGCCCCCATCTGCAGTGTTATCCATATTAGAAGGGAGTAAGCCAAAAAAATCAATAAAATCCTTTTGCTATTTGTTCCTAGTACAGGAACATACCAATTTAAAGGCTTAGAAATCTTGAATCCATTACATCATGACCCACGGAATAAACTTTCCCAGGATTGGAAGTGACTGTGGGGGGAGGAGACTATAAGCACTTTCCTGATGGTGGTTGGTGGGATCCAAGCCAGAAGCTGTAAGTGGCTCAGGCCTCTCAGAACCTTCGAGAAGGCCTTGCAATAAACCATGGTTTGTTCAACAAACTGGTAACTCTGCCAGAGAAACAGGACGTCTCGGATTGTGCTTTTTGCTTCCACTTTCCGGCAGGGAAATCTTCCCTCTCCTGCTGTCTTCGTGGCTTACAAGAATGGTGCTATCACTAAATTGTGGCTTGTCAGAATAGCATCTGGAAGACCTAGGTTCGAATCCCCACTTTACCACAGAACTTGCTGGGTAACCTTGGGCCAATCACCATCCCAGCCTAACCAACCTTACAGGGTTGTTGTGAGGATAAAATTGAGAAAAGGAGAACAACATAAGCCACTTTGGGTCCCCAATGGGGAGAACAATGGAGTATAAATGAAGTAAAATAAAATATATAAATAAAATTTTAAATTCAGACATCACAGCAAAACCACATCTGAACAAGCGGCAGTTAACAAGCCAGCTAACATCTTAGGATGAAATCCCAACTGGCTAGTTGGATCACCTGCACTGAAGCATCTCAGGTAACTGTGGGTTGATCAAACTAGTGTATAAACAGTTTATTGTACTGTTTGGATGCAGCCTGTGGCGTACTGACCTCCAAAAGCGGGATGCTTCGTGCATCAAATTCAAACAGCTGGGAGATTAAAGATCACTGTGAAGCACAGGTTGGTTGACAGTCTGCTGCCTGCGTGCATCCCCATGATTGGTCAGCGCCAGCTGAGGAGAGCTTTAAGAACAGCTGAGTGCTGAGGAAAAGGGTCTCTTTCGCCTTGTTGTCTCTGGTGTCAGAAGCCAGACAAGTTGAGTGTGTGTGTCAGAGGGAAACAGACAAGTTCAGTTGTGAAGTGAAGGGACACAACTCCTTGCCCTTACTGTGTACCATCAAATCTGAGCACAAGTTCCAAATAAGAACTTTAGTCTGTCAGCCCAGCTGAAAACTGTTTATTTCACTGGGTCAAGAACTGAGGGTCAGTTTTGGCAGGGGGGATTGGTCAGTAGGTTGAAGCTGCCAGTCCAGCCGAACAGAAAAGGAATGTTGCTTCTAGGAAAAGGAGAATATTTCCTTCTCAGTTATTCAGTGGGTTCAATTCTGAAGAGACCCCTAGATTGGGTGAGAAAGGAAACGGTCTTAGACTCCTCTAGAGTCCAAGGGAAAGCTGTAATCCCACAGGGAGGGACACCCGTGCGACGAACCCCCCCCGCCCCCCGCGGGGGGGGGGGGGGGGGGAAGCATGGCCAAAGTGCACAAAGTGCAGCTTTTTAGAGCCACACCAAAAGAGATATGCGGCAGTGGGATCAGATAGATCCCCTGAGCCGCCACGCAGTTCTTCCCCGGCACGATCAGATGCCGGGGGGAAGCCACTGAAGGGAGAGTGAGGCAGCCGGCTGCGCATGTGTGCGCATGCGCAGTTCAGCCGGGAGCCTCGATTGCTCCTGCAGACGGGTGCGCCGGCGATCTCACGGCTGTGCTTGCTGCGCCATTTCGGGTAAGTCCTGCTCTTTTGCAGGTTCTTTTTTCATGCGCATTTTCAGCCTGAAGGGCCAGATTGGGGACGGGTGCGCGCCGCTTCCCAAATGTTGCGGTGTGATCGCGCCCGTTTGCTGCGCCCCCAATCCGTCCCTCTTCCGGCCCTAAACCTGTGTGACCGGGGCCTAAGATAGTTATGTGAATCATTATTATGACACATCGTTGCTGCAAAGAAATCTCCAAGACAAACAAACCTCACACTGTTAGGAACTGAGTCCCTAAGAAACTAAGCTTCAACAATACTTTGAAGCCTGTTCAAAATTATTACAATCTGTAAATACAACAAAATTTACCTCAGTTTTCCTATTCCTAACTTGCCTATTCCTAACCCAACCATGCCTGTTTAATGAAGTCATCATTCCTGTTTGAACTTTACTTTGTGTCAAGTGCCATTTACAAAGGAAATAACAAGTGAGCTCCTGTGTATCAACAATAAATCTCTGGCCTGGGCAAAAGCCAAATATATTCTCTATCACAGAATGGGACACGCAGACAGTCATAAACTGTTTATTAACACTCACTACCAAGGAACTTGCAAGTAGATAAATAGGTACCACTTCGGTGGGAAGGTAACAGCGTTCCGTGCGCCTTGGTGTTTAGTCATGCTGGCCACATGACCACGGAAACGTCTTTGGACGGCGCTGGCTCTTCGGCTTTGAAACGGAGATAAGCACCGCAACCCTAGAGTCGGACTCGACTGGCTTTCGAGCAAGGGAACCTTTACCTTTACCTTTTTACCAAGGAACTGCTCAGACAGAGCTATTTCGTGTTTTGGCAGAAAAATCTGCGTCTCAGAAAATGAAGCCGCGGGAGTCTATCATATTTGGTGACAGCAGAGGGATTCAAAAGAAAAACTCACAACTAGTTGATCCCACCACAAAAACACAATAGTATAACATATTTCATGAATTTGTGAGGAATTAAAATTCCAGTCAGAAATGTCCCCCCTCCCTGAAATCTAAGAAGGCACAGGGAGATGGGCAACCAGAAAGAGCCTCTTCTGAGGAAAATCCTAGTCAGGAATTAGAGGTTATGAGAATACAGGTAGAACTGGCAAAATTAGAAGCAGAAAAAGCAAGAGCTGAGAAAAAGCAACAGATAGAATTAGCCAGAATTGAAAAAGAACAGCTACCATTAAAGTTAGCCAAGACTGAAAAAGAAAAGGAGTTGGCCAGAATTCAGACAGAAAAAGGAAACAAATAATGTAAAACAGAACAGCAGGAGAGAGAAAGGGAGGCTAATAGAGAACATGAAAAAATTAAAATGGAGAACGCTAAAGGACATTCCATTTGAGGTGAGACAGCGGAGGAAGAAATATAAGAATTAGTGACTTTTCTTCAGACTAATTTAATTGGATACAAATGGCTATTTCCTGAAGGAGTAACTTTTAAGATAAAGGATAAAAAAGAGAAGATTGACTCTGTGTTTAAAGCTAAAGAGTTCAGCTGGGAAAAGCAGAGGAAGACGACGGAAAATCGAATGGAGACAAAGATTCAGAATCTTCCGGAGAGGACTCTTTGACTGAGCAGGGAGCAGCAGCTCCAAGAAGTCCTTATAAGCTGAGAAAGGGGAAAAAGAAGTAAAGGCTGAAGGACTCTGAATTGTGCCTTGAATTCAACAATATGTTAGAGATGAATGGGGGGTGGTTTACAGGCACTTAAAAAATTAAATGTAAAATTAGCAGAGAAAAATGAGTATGTTTGACTCAGTTTATAGAAATGAAACTGAAGTAGTGACTTATTGTAACTAAGCTTGTTGGAGATCTCCTCTCTTGGGTTTTTAGATAGTAGTGGGTTTCTTTACTTTGTCCCTGTATGTGTAGTTCCCTATATCCTTTTTTCTTTGTAGTATTTGTAGAGATATAAAAATAATTTAAAAATCCCCTCTGGGGGAATTTAAAAAAAAATTAAAATGGAACAGCAAGCGAAAGAGAGGGAAGCTAATAGAGAACATAAAAAAGGAATGTATAAAAATGAAAGAAATACAGTTAAGGGCTGAATTACCCATTCCTCAGAGAAGGGGGCGTGCATGCAGGCAGCAGCCTCTACTTCACAATAAGGCATTAACCCTATAATCTCCCAGCGCTCTGAATATGATGCACTAAGCATCCTGCTTTTGGAGGTCAGTACATCACACAGCCCTAGTCTGCATTTAGCAAGATAGATTATTTGTACAGTTGTAAACACAGATCCAGAGAAAAACACTGGTAACCTGATTTTTATTGGGTGAAAGAAACATCAGACAGCATCAATGGGGGTCGTCTTTAATTGGATACAAAATAATGAATATTTTAGGGATGTATATGAATTACAGGGCAAAAGATTAGGAATGAATAAAAGAGAAGGGGTCAAAGAATAAAATTGTACTTTAAAATGCTGTCAATTGCTTTGAGGGCATAACTGCTGAAAAATGAGGAAAAAGTAACTTAAGAAATAAAACAATTTTAGAGTTAAACCAGATGTAGAAAAGGGGAGCAAAATCTAAATCAGCAACAGATCTGAGCAAAGTCATGCCAAGGATTAAGAAAATATTTAAAAATATATTTTAAAGCTCTCCTTGGAGGAAAGCCATTTGCAAACAGAATATTCAGCTCCTGCAAGTATTCATACCCTGCCAGTATTAATCAGATAAAGACTAAATACTCAAAATTACCTGAATTTGTTTTTCTAATTCATTTTTCTCATTTCGGAGTTCTGTTCTGATAGCCTGTAAGAATAGAAACATCATACTTTTATTCCAGGTAAATTATTAGCCAGACAGACTAATATTAGAATTTCACAAAGAAGGGATAAGAAACTCCATCATTGCCTACAATTCCTTGCAAGTTCCCACAATCGCTCCTTTCAAACAGGCAGTCAGCTATAACATCTGCCATCAGTGGGATAGCAAAAAGAGCCCATTCAGGACAAGGTCGGGGGGGCAGTCTCTTGAGCAATTCAGAACTCTATATTTTGTAAATTAAAAAAAACACACTCAAAAACAGATTGAAAAAGTGAGCCCTGATGCATAAAAGTTCATACTGGAATAAACATTAGTCTTTAAGGTGCCACTGGACTTCTGTTTTATTTTGCTATAATAGACTAACACAGCTCCTGTTCTGACATGCTCTAGGAGGCAAGGACGAACAGTGGGGAACAGAAGAAGTGGAAGAAATGGCATGTTTGATCCCCTAAGAGTGTATACTATCCAGAAACGAGACACTTGGATTGAAAGGAATGGAAAATTTGTCCACTTATTGCTTCTGCCCCAGGGAGGCGCTTCTTCCCATTGGTTATGAATGCCCCACCCTGGACCACTTGAAAATTTCCCAATCACCCCCACCAAAGGATTTGCCATCTATTTCTATAGCCTTTTATTTGTGTGCAGACACTAAGGGTGGAAAAACACAAGTTTGGAAAGGATCTCTACCTATCACAGAACAATTAATATGAATAAATATATCAAAATCTGCCCATCAATCTCCATTTTTGATATATTTATTTCCTTCACTGTGTTTCCCCCCAGAATTAAACCCAAACTAATGGTGACCATATAAACGAAGTTTGTTATTCCAGTCTGGTCCTTACATCTGTTAAACACCTTTATTACGCTGTATGCTAGTTTGCTGCTCACCCTCTACCTATATATAGTAAAAGGTAAAGGTTCCCTTGCTCGAAAGCCAGTCGAATCCGACTCTAGGGTTGCGGTGCTCATCTCCGTTTCAAAGCCGAAGAGCCAGCGCTGTCCGAAGACGTTTCCGTGGTCATGTGGCCGGCGTGACTAAACACCAAGGTGCACGGAACGCTGTTACCTTCCCACCGAAGTGGTCCCTATTTATCTACTTGCAATTTCTTGCTTTCGAACTGCTAGGTTGGCAGGAGCTGGAACTAGAGATGGGAGCTCACTCCATCATGCGGCACCCGGGTCTCGAACTGCTGAACTACTGACCTTCCACAGCCTGCAGTTCAGCGTCTTAACCACTTGAGCCACCGCAGCTCCTTCTACCTATATATATGGACTGGTAAATTCCATTTCAATGCCTCTGAAGAAGTGTGCACGCACATGAAAGATTATACCATGAATAAAACTATGTTGGTCTTAAAGGTGCTACTGGACTCAAACTTTGTTCTGAAAATTTACAGATACTAGTATAGTGTTATAGTCTGGTAAAACATGTTAAGAACAGCCAATCAATATTTCCATGAAGTGATACTGATAGTAGAAGTTATACAAAGTCAGACCGCCAGACCATCTACCTCAGCATTGTCTACTCTGGCAGCAGCTCTCCAAGGTCTCAGGCAGAAACAGATCTTTGCCAACAAAGAAACGCCTTTAACTGGAGATCGCAGGGGATGAATGAGGGACAGTCTCCATGGCATCTACTACTGAGCCTATCGCTGGTGCAAGCAGGCATCAGGTCACAGCTGGATTTCTGTTTCAGCTCAAGAGGCCATAAAAACTTGTACTGAATAAACGCAAAACACTTCTGCTCCTCAGAGACTTTCCTCACCTGAAGCTCCCTCTCTTTTTCATCCATCAAAGCTTGGATTTTCTCTGCAGACAAATTCTCCTCAGAAAATCCACCTTGGGACTTAGCCTCTTCCAGGTACTGGATGAGAACATCTTTGTCTTTCAGTGATAGTCTCAGCTGCTCTACACACCTAAAATTACAAAATTGGAATACTGCAACATTGGTCAGGACAGGAAACCGGGGGGGGGGGGGGGGGGCACGACACACATAGAACGTAATATCCAAGCATAACATCTTAACTGGAAGGCCTTTTTAAAATTGCAGCTGCTTCTCCACAATAAGCAATGGCTGATCTTAATGGGGGGAGGGTGCTCATTGTTCTGTTCTCCAAGTACAAGCCATAAAAATTAAGCAAGATTCACATCAGGCCTTTTACAGAGCTCCTTAGACACCACTACTCCTTGTCATCCTAAAATCCTTACCATGCCTTGTTCCCCTTTCTCTCTTTACTCCCATACACAGATACAACCCTTCCTATGACCTTCTCTCTTCCAGCTACACCACCTTCAGCAGTCAAAGGTCTGCTCCCTCAAACTCCACCCCTTCTCTCTTGCTACCTTTCTGCCTGGAACTGCCTCCCAGAACACGTCAGTGACATCACCCCTCTCCCCCCTCCAAATCCTCCATCAAAAACCACCTTTTCAACAAAGCCTGCCGTCCAACCCCTTCATCCACCAACAGAAACTAAGCCTAAGCCTGTACAAATGGAACAGAAGCATCTTCTTCCCTTGCTTATCCCCATCTCTACCTCCCTCCCCTCTTTTACCTGATGCATAAAGTGAACCAGAGCTAAGAAGAAGAAGAACAGGTGTTTATATCTTGCGTTTCTCTACCTTAAGGAGTCTCAAAGCAGCTTATAATCACAGGCATCTTGTGAGGTAGGTGGGGCTGAGACAGTTCTGACACAACTGTGGTTGGCCCAAGGTCACCCAGCAGGCTTCACGTGGAGGAATCAAACCTGGTTCTCAAGATCAGAACCCTCTGCTCTAATCACTACACCAGTGGCTAGCTACCAATACACATCAGCCACAGCAATCACAACTAATAGCAGTAAAGTGGATGGTCCTGTGGCAATCATTAAAGCAACAGTCCAAGGCCACCCACAGACCAGGAAGGCATTTCTAAATGCGGGGGGGGGGGGGGGGGGGGCGGAGATCCTGGAGGAACAGATTGGGTAGGGGAGATTTCCAAGACATGACCACTACATACACAGTTCTTTACAGGCCCCCAGCGTGTTCAGAAAATAAGCAACCAGAACAAGGCACCAGCTAAAACATTGCTTATCAGCTATGAAGATCTAACCTGTCTTTTTCTTCGAGTGCCACCACCATATCCAGGTCCTTGGGTGGGATATTTTTAAGCAAAGAGAGCTGATGATCAGCAGCCATTCTTAGAGCTCTCTCCCGTTCTGTCACAGCACACGCTTTTTTCAGTTCTTCATGCGCAGTTTTAAGATCCTGTAGTCAAAAGCAAAGACTCATGATGAAGAAAGTGTCCACACCAGCAATACAGTCTACAGTTCTCCAAACAGCAACACACATACCCTGGATGGTTCCTGCACTCAAAAGGCCAAGGACTACTATTCGGTGTAGAGGAGGAAACTGGCAGATTTCCATACGTTTACTGTATACATTGGTGCACATGGGGGCCTAATATGCATAATCATACAACCTCATTAAAAGCAACAGGGTGGGAGAGCTTGCCAGAACCAAATCTACATGTATCTAGGCCTGCATGTGGGATGCCCACCTCACACAGTGCTTTATACACATATGATAGGGAAGAATGTATGCTCAACTCCTCCATAGAATAGCAATCCTTGAAAATGTACATTTGTGAACCGGGTCCATGTTAAGCCTATCTTCAAAAGCTTCACTGGTTTCCAGTATGCTATCAGGCTGAAGTCAAGGATCTGGTGCTTACCTACATATACCCCTGGCATCTCCCCTTCTGAAACACTACCCCTCTGGTCCATTAATAGGCTCTGCTGATTGTGCCCCCATTTCAACAAATCAGACATCTAAGGCACAGGCTTTCTAGAATAAGTTCCAGTTTCACAGAATGGGCCACCGGAAGGCACGCAGAGAGCGTTTTCGTTGTTAGCATTTCATAGGCATTTCTTGCCGGGCCATTTTCCACCTGATATTCTTTGACAAACATAGACTAGTGTTAGACTAATTCTTCTTGCCTATGTTTTTATGTGCCATTATTCTAAGCGACCTTGAATCTTGGATAAGGCAGGACATAAACATCTAAATAAATGGCCATGATGAGTTCAATCCCTCCCTCTTGTCACTACAGTATTTAACTGGGCCCATTTTGTCCTATACAAAATGCCTCTACAAAAGCCACAAGATGTCTCCTAGCACTTGGATTGCCTACGTTTTTTTTCACACATGATGCTTTCATCAGTTGCTCTGTCTCAGAGGGACACACATAAACTGAATTTCACCAGTACAGAAAGCAAGAGCCACTTTTCAGATCACTCGAAGACAGCAGGTTATCTCCCTCCAAGATGTGCCCACATCAGAAGACAGAGAGGTGTACCTTAAGAAACAGTCATTAATAGATTTGCATCACACACAGTGATCTTTGAGGACTTGCCTCTTCCAAAAGGTTTATTCTGCTTGTCAAACTTTCTTCTACTTCCTGGACCTTCTTATGAGCCTCCTCCTGGACACGCTGGATTTCAGCATCACCACCCTGAGCCAAGCTTTCCACTGCTTTTCTGCAAAGACAAAAGAACTCACCAGGCAGGAATGAACAGAAGGAAAAAAAATCACCTCGAGGCTATTCACTAGCCTGTAATTATACTAACATTTTCAAGTATTTCGCTCATCATCTCTGAGACCTTCTTAAAACAACCCAGTGCGACAGGCAGACATTTCTTGCAGGGCTCCGTTTCAGCTGTCTGCATCAAGCAGTGGGCAGAGTGGCTTACTTGGGATAAAGCCTTTTGTTTTAATTTATATTTTATTTTATTAAAGCACTAAACAGTTACATAAGGATCAAATTTGTTGTAATCAAATAGCTTACATAGTACATAGAAGTATTTCTGTAAAATACATAAGCACAGTATTACAACTAAGTACACTGTTTTGAAGTAAGTACAACACACTATTGGAACATAATGTAATTAAAATATACACAAACAATTCAACAGTACTAATAACACTAATATTATCTAGAATTAAGTATAGTTTACTGATTTTTAAACTTTGTTCCATAAACAACTAGGAGCATTGTTCTGATGATTTGAATACAAGGTCTAAGGAGCATAAGTTAGATTCAGTCCAGAAGTAAATCATCTATGTATAAAGGGGATTTTTTGGGACTACTTCAGCCTCAGCCATATAAGTAATGATTGGATACCAAGTCGCAATGAACGTGGTTTCTGATTTATGTGAGAGTGTATTTGAGGTGTGGAGTGAAATCTTGCCCATGATGAAATGATTCCATAAACGATCTTGCCAGGATTCTATAGTGGGTGGGGACATCAAGCCAGTTAGCTTTGTGAGCAAACCTGTTAGTGGGCAGGAGCCAACTCAAAGCTTTCAACATTTGCACGGACATCACAAAAACAACATTGCAAGGAAGTCCATAGTTCTGTTACCAATTAATTTTCATGTTTTAAAAACCCTGTTCAGACATCCCATCGGTGATGGGATGCAGACTTGCACTGGCTGATCCCAAGGACATTTCTGGGGAACAGCGGCGATGGCTGACAGAGCACTCAAGATTTAAAGGAGGACTATTGGCAAAAATAATACACAGGTAATACTTACGATGCCTTGATGAGCAATCGTTCCCGCTCCTGCAGTTCTCGTTTCAGGCTTTCCAATTCGACTTTGAGTTCAATATTCTGTAGCGGAATGAGAAGAAGAGAACGACCTCTTGCTCAAGCCAGGAAGGCTGCCATGCCTCAGAGTATCCCCACCACCACCTGCCCGCTGCCCAAATTGGCAGTTTGTAACTTCAATATCTAATTACGGGAGTTTCCGGTGGCTGCGAGATTGCGCAGTCGGACCGAGAGAGCCTCCGCGTCTTTGCTCCAAAAAACGCAAAATAAAGACTAATTGAGGACTATAACGACAAAAACAACTTGCTGATAAGAATGGGGAAGCAAAGAGGAGGGAAAGGAGGGAAAGCAGCCAAGAAAAACAACGAGGGAGCTCAACAAAATGAGCAAACTATGCAACCATCGGATGAGGACTCCCCTCCCCCATTAGAAGTCGACTTGGAAGAAGAGGCACCTAGCCGGCAGAGTAAAAGAAAACGTGAGGACTCAATTACTAAGAAAGACATACAGACCATGCTGGTGGAAATGAAAAAAGAAATTAGAGACAGCATCACCCCTATTCATCAGAAACTGGATGCTATGAATCTCAGCCTAACAGATCTGCGGGAAAGGACTGAGTACCCATTTGTCTACTTGCAGTTACACTTTCGAGCCGATGGGTGGGCGGGAGCTGGGACTTGGAGCAGGAGCTCACCCCGGCCACGGTGGGTCTCGAACAGCCATAGTGGCTGTTCGCTAGTGTTGTTAATGTAGGCGTTGAACTGCCTGCACCACCGCTCCCAGTCAAATGAGACAACCACAGCAAATACAGAACATATTTTAAGGCATTTTAATTTATTTAGTACATTATAATCTTGCCTTGTCTCTGAAGAGGCTGGAGTGGCAATGGTAGCTCTTCCCTCCTCCATGTTACCCTCACAAGAGCTCAGGCTTAAAAAAAAATGGCCCAGATCTCCCAGTGATCTTCATATCAGTGGGGATTGGAATATAATTTTCTTCAGGTGTACAAAATCATTTCAACCACTACACTACATTGGCTCAGCTGCACTTCCCAGGTTTACAGTTCATTTCATCAAATCTGCACATCTGTCCAAACGGGCAACTGAGAAAGGCACCTCAGACAATCAACCCTGTGGTAGAATGTCCACGTAAATACGATTAGTGAATGGGACTAAAGGATGCAACCAATTTATCTGGGACATTTATACCCTATCTCGATTTTTGAAAAGTCTTCAGAGCAGCATACAAAGTTAAAAGAATAAGATGGAAATAGTAAGTTAAAATTATGAAGTCAAACAAACACAAAACCCAGCATCCAACCCTGTTTCAAAAAGACTATAAAAACTAGCTATTGCTACTGGCAAGAGATTAAAAAAAAATAAGAACAGGCTTAGTCTGGTACTGAGAAACATAGAGCTGGAAGGGTCATCAAGAGTCATCTAGTCCAACCTCCTTGCACAATGGAGGAATGTCACAACTATCTCCCCTCACTCCCCCAGTGACTCCTGCTCTATGCCCCTAGGAAGGCAAAAAACCTCCAGGATCCCTGGCCAATCTGGCCTGAAGGAAAAGTCCTTCCTGATCCCAAAGTGATGATCAGCATGTAAGAAAGGGCCACAAGAGCCAAGCACAGACTCATCCCTTCCTGCCCTCCCTCTCATGATCTGCCTAAGTTCACAGAGGCAGGCAATCGGCCAAAGTGCGGCTTTTTAAAGTCGCACCAAAAGAAATATGCGGCGGCAGGATCACATAGATCCCCTGAACCGCCGCACAGTTCCTCCCCGGCACAATCAGATACCAGGGGGGAAGCTACTGAAGGGAGAGCGAGGCTGCCGAACTGCGCATGTGTGCGTGTGCACAGTTTGGCCGGGAGCCCGGATTGCTCCGGACAACGGGCGCAGCGGCGATCCCATGGCCACGCTTGCTGCGGTGCTTTAGGTAAGTCCTCCTCTGTAGGAGGTTCTTTTTTGCAGCGGCTTTTCCAGGTTTAGGGACGGATCGGGGACGGGTGTGCGCCGCTTCCCAGATGTTGCGGTGAGATCACGACCGTTTGCTGCGCCCCCAATCCGTCCCTCTCCCGGGTCAAAATCGTCCGTGTGACCGGGGCCAGAATCAGCCTTGCTGTCAGATGGCTGTCAAATCTGCTTAAAAACCACCAAAGAAGGAGAGCCCACCACCTTAAATAATAACAGTTGCAGTATCAGGCACATCTCCACAGGAAAGGAGCTCCATGGTTTAGGGGTCCCAGCAGAAAAACTCTATATCCAACACTTACCTGCTCAACGTCAAGGGGGGGGGGAGCCAGATACAACATTTCAAGGAAGATCATGATTCCTGAACAGGTTTTTATGGGTGAAGAAAGTCCTGAAGATACCCTATATCAGTAATACTCAGTGCCTCAGCAACCACATGTGGCTATTTGATGTGCCATCTGTGACTCTTCTTAGCACTGTTCCATAATGTGGCACTTGTGCCATATTTCAGGAAATACAGGCAATGCCTTTATCTGCTGGGGCTTATGGTTGTCCTATGATCCCCACCTGGAAACAGCCACCACCAGAGGAATAGGTAAGCTGCGAGCCTCCCCGAGGTGCGGGCCTCATGCCAAGATTGGAAGTAAATGTGGCTCTTTTGGTTGATGGTAACCTCAAGCTGCAGAGTGAATACAATGGCGCTATATAGATGTGAACCCATGAGCAGATGGGGAAAATAGTGAGAAGCTGGTCAGTCCTAGACCCTTCCATGCAATACTGGTACAAAGAGGTACCCTGGTGATGTTGATGCACTGCAGATCAGATCAAGACAACCTCTCTTCTCAATACACAATGGTGAAATTTTCTGCTTGCAAACAGTGTAAGCCCCCTCCCCCACACACCCAAGATTTAATGGAAATGTCTATAAACATCTAATAGCTACAACTGATAAATGGAATCTACAGGTTCAGGTGGAGTATGCCAACAAATACCAGTTGCTGGGAAGCAACCAGGGAGAGGGATTACTTTCACATCCTGGTCAGGGGCTTTCCAGAGGCATCTCACTGCCTACTGTTGGGAACACAATGTTGGGCTACATGGTCCTTGGGCCTGATCCAGTAGTATCTGAAGTAGAAATAACAGACTTGGTTAACAGTGGGCTGTTTGATACCTGATATTATTCACTGCTACCCTGTGGACCAGGGTAATGCCAAAAATCACGGCTCACACAGAACAACATACATCCTATCATGATGCTGAAACTGGCACTGAAAAACTGAATCATTTATAATAGCTTCCTGGAACCATCTGGTTGACCACATGGAAAAGGTGATGCTGGACTGGATGGAGCTTTGATCAGATACAGCAGGGCTGTTCTTAAGATTAGAGAATCCACCAGACAGGAATCTCAACAATTAAAAACCCAGAAGGGGCATTTAGTACCACACACTGCTTCTGTTAAATAATTTTTATTATATATAAAATGAAATTTACACATTCCAAGGCAATGCTAAACACTCAACAGGGGGGGGATGACATACAACAACAGTGAAGCCTCAAAAAGAACAGATTTTAACTGAACTGTTTTCAATATATTTGTGACTTCACCACTGTACAAGTCTAACAAAGGATTTCAACTTGTTAACTCCCTCCCTTCCTTCTCCAAATTTCAACGCACATTTAAGTTTAGTCATGGGATCACTGCATTTCAAGTCCATTTGAACCAATCCTCAGTCTAGGGCTGTTCTTTACTTTTCCATAGGTATGCTGGCTAACAACATTCCAACTGTAACAACTAGTTTAGCTATCACCTCCTGTTGCTTATTTTTAAGTGTACCTCTTTGGAGTCCCCAGAAATAGGGCAGAAAGGGCTCAATGGCAGCCCAGAAAAAGTGACATTGTGAATCACCTGACATCCATCCAACCATATTTGTTATGACTGGACACTGGCATTGTTCCTGCTGCATTTTCAGAAAGTGTCTGCCCCCTTCAACTTCAATTTACCACAATTTTCTAGGAAGAAGATACCATTTATACAATACTTTTAAAATAGTGCTTTCAGAAAGCTGCAGCAACTGAACACTTAATCTCTTGTTTGTAAAGAGAGGCCTACATAGATTCTGTTATCTCTATTCCAGTCTCCTGAATCAGCTCCCCCACACACACACATTTTGGATACCTTTCCAGCATCTTGTGTACTTAATAACATTTCATAAGACACAGATAACATTCACTTATTGGTTTTGATACCTAAGGATTATTTGTCTTCTCAGGAAACTGGTAAAATAGCCTAAAACAGGCTATTATTGCTCACTTCAGGAGCTTAAACTGAAAAAAAGGATAGAAAATTGAGGAAATACATCAATAGGATACTGGGATAAACAGAATGGCTGTTATCTTAAAAATAATTATTCCACCAAAGGATGGGGAAAAATTGAACTGCAGTGCGTACAAATACAAGGTAGTCGAAGAACAGCTGCTTTTGGCCCCATAACTGTACCTCTTACTTCTTCCTACAAGCTTACATGTGACCATCATCTTCAGGTCAGATTCCACAAGCCCTGCCTTCAGAATGGATTGGAGAGGCCACTAAGCACCGGGCCAATTGTGGAGGCTCTTACCTAAGACTTTCACCATAACTCTCAATCTGACAACAAACCTGGTGGGGTTTTTTTACTCTAAGCAAAAGCTTTGAGTTTGCCCAGCCACTTATGAATGGCTAATGGTTGGCTCATGTTTTGATAGCTTGTTTGTCATTATGTGTATCTGTGTACTTATTTACTACAATTTGTTTTATAATGGCTACAAATTATTTTACAATTGTTATAATTGTTTTATTATCACTGTTTCTTTCTACTGTGATTGAAAAGCCGCTTCTTTACTAAACTTGATTTTATAGCTATTTATTAGTTTTACTGGAGGGGGGGGGGTTGCTATACGGAAACCGAACTAAGAATTTTACTGACCGTGTACTATAGAGCCATATTAAAAATATCTAGCTGTCATTCAGTTCTCTGTAGAAGACAACATATCATTAATTTGTATCAAAAATAGTTTACATAACTGCCAAACTGTGAAGAGTATCTCGAA